CTGCACTGGCTCCCGGTGGAGTACAGGATCAGGTTTAAGGTGCTGGTTTTAACCTTTAAAGCCCTATACAGCCTAGGACCCTCATACCTACGGGACCGTCTCTCCTGGTATGTCCCATGGAGGACCTTACAGTCTTCAAACAAAAACATCTTGGAGGTCCCAGGCCACAGAGAGGTTAAGCTGGCCTCAACCAGAGCCAGGGCTTTTTCGGCTATGGCCCCGATCTGGTGGAACGCTCTGTCACAAGCCCCGCAGGACTTGACATCTTTCTGCAGGGCCTGCAAGACAGAGCTGTTTCACCAGGCCTTTGGCTAGGGTACAGCCTGACCTCCTCCTTTGGCAATCCTCACAGAACTCTAGCCCAATGGTTGCCACTAATTTGATTTGAACTGATTTTAGAATGAGCTGATTTTAGAATGTTGTATTATTTTACTGTTGTTAGCCGCTGTGAGCCAGGTTTCGGCTGGGGAGGGCGGGATATAAATTTATTATTATTATTATTATTATTATTATTATTATTATTTGGCTTCTAATCGGAAGCCCCATCGGACGTTCAGCTTCCAAAAATAGTTCGCAAACTGGAACAGTCACTTCCGGGTTTCGATTGTTCGGGAGCCAAAAAGTTCAAGAACTAGGCTGTTCGGAAACCCGGGTACGACTGTATCTATGAACTTTGGGTCAAGTATTCTGCTTGTGCCAAGATCAGAAGATGAGTGCTTTCTGCTGGTTCCTCCTCAATATCAGGTACCTGGTGTTGGGAGCCCAGGAAAGGGCCTTTTCAGTGATGGCTCCTTGTATGTGGAACTCCCTCCCTTTTGAGCTGTGCCTGGCTCCCATCCCGGTTATTTGGTTATTTGGTTATTTGGGATTCCTCTTGTTTGGCAGGTGTTAGGAGAAGATACTTGATTGCTCCTGCTACTATTAGCAATGGCTATTCTGTTGTTTTGTTGTGATGTGTTTTTGCAGGTCATTTTGATGGATTTCTATCCATTTTGCCTTGTTGCAAGCAGCCCTGCAGTTTGTGCAAAGGGAGGTGCAAAAACCATCTAAAGAATGGAATGGCGAAACGGTAAAATGTCATTCAAGCGATGCAACCTAGTCTGAGGTCCAAGCTAAATACCTGCGAGAAGTAAGAGTCCCGCACAAATTACAGCAGGCCTCTCTCTACATCTTGTCAAACCTACGCTTCGTTCCTCTGTTATTAATGGCTTCCTCCAAACAATTCCGAGAACCGCAGTTCCGCGAGGGTGCTGCGAATTCCTTGGCGGAGATCATTCCGCGCCACGGAATGGCAATTCCCAGCATTCCCTGGGGCAAAAGAACGAAGTCTGTAGCAGTTTCCTTTGGCCTCCAGTGATTCCCACATCAGATGGTCATTTGACAGCAAACAAATTATGCAGGGCTCTTTGTCTGGACATTTTTGGCGCTGCGAACCAGGATAATTCTCAGCACTCCTGTGCTGAATGAATCCGTCAGTTCTGGCTTTTCTCAGCTTCTTAAATTCAATCCACCCCATTTCTGGAGGAGTTGACTAACTTCTTTGTTTGTTTGGTTTTTTTAAAAAAACCTCAAACATCAAATTTGCACACATTTTTTTTTTGCCCGTGTTTCTCCTAATATATGGATTTTTTGCACACAATCTTCCCGAATATTATGTATTTCTATGCTTTGTTCTCACTAATATATGCATTGCCTTCCCTTAGGACATGCTCCTTGCACACAGGTTTTGGAACTGCACCCCAAAATTCAGAAGAGTGCCAGTTTCAAAGGACAGCTGCATTTCAATTTTTGCCTTTAGTTCTGGAAGTGCAAAGTAGGTTGTTTTGCATTAAACCAGTGGCGTAGCGTGGGGGGTGCAGGGGGGCCGGCCGCACCGGGCGCAACATCTGGGGGGGGGCGCGTTCGCACTCGCAGCTCTCTGCCCCTACCTGGAGGGGGCGCAAATTACTTGCCTTGCCCCGGGTGCTGACAACCCACGCTACGCCACTGCATTAAACTGATTGGATTTCTCCCCCACCCTCGTCCATTCCTACTCCAAAAATTATAACTGCTCTAGTTGTGCAACCTGCTTAAATACCGGTAGTTAATCCACTTTTGCCTCTGATGTTTTCCATCTTTGGGGTTTCAGGTCTTGCGGGGCAACCTTGTCTATTTTGTTCCTCACTGAACTCCAATTCCCAGAACTGTCTGAATCTCTACCATTTTCAGTGTGGGAGGCCACTAAGTATTGCTTCTTCTAGGCTCCTGGCTTGCCACAATGAGAGGATGCTGCTGAATGGACCTGATCCAGCAAACCTCTTCTTACATCCTTATCTGGTTGGCTGGATTTTCTTTTTTTAATGCTTACGAAACTTCATAATTTAAATTTGTATTTAAACAGGTACTTGAATGCACCTTATCCCAAAATGCGTATTTAAATCCCGTGTCCCCATTTTGAAACACATTCCATCCTAAAATGTTGCTACATTTTTCTGAGCTGAGGACTCCTGAATATATTTTTAAACATTTTGCGTTTCCTCCAAAGTTGCTTATATATTAAAATAAGAGTATACATGAACTGCAACAGAATAAATTAGTAGACACACACGCCCTGAAACTCCCGGGTTATATCGCAAAATCCAGAGGAGTGCAAAACTTGAAGGGTAATTAGGCTCCGATTTCATGAATTGTGCCCAGGAGGCATGAATCTGCTCAATTTCCTTAAAAACGCAGACCAGACAAAATTCTCCCTCCCTAGACTGTGCTACACTCATTCCCCGAGATCTGCTTATCCACCCACGAAAACGCTGCCAAATGAGATCTGCGTGCAGCCTAATACTTTCTGCTTTTATTATTTTGTAAAATAACGTTCTGGCTGGATGGCAATCTGTGGAACAAAGGTTTCCTTCCCTCTGTACTCTGCGACAAAAATAGACCGGCCGAGTTATTTTTAGCACAGATCAAGTGCAGAACGGATCCAAGTTCTTACCACCGGCAATGAATACACCTCTAAGAGTGTCTGGGAACTCCTGTAAACAGTGATTTGCAAGGAGGCTTCTTATTGCCAGAGAGGCATAATTATCTATTCTCTAATTTCATAGTTCGCGTCTCATAACATCAAGGTGTTTAGGCTAGGGAGACAGAGCAATATATCACAAAGCACCGCACACACAGTTTTTGTAATCCTTCTTCGAGCCTCGATTTCTGCTGAGCAAAGGACGCATTACTATGCATTACATGAGTGGAAGGAAAAACAAGTTTCCAGAAATGTTACCTCAATCTTTTCTTGTATACTGAATTTTGCGGCAAGGGTGGTGACAGGATATCATATCCCTCCTCACCTCTGCATTCACAGAGCCATTTGCTTTTCACGCCAGGAAGCAGTTTTCAGAAAAGAGCACTTATATTCCGGACTTTAACATTGGATCCGCAGCTCTTGTCATCGTCACATACCTTAGTTCGGCTTCTGTCCACAACACTTCAGCTGTGCAGGCTGTTAGGAAGATAACATATGAAGATATGAGCAGAGGTTGCAGAGTTTGGGGTTTTTAAGGTTTTTTGGGGGGGGAAGGAAGGTGTGCAGGGAAAAGGCAGGATGATAAGAAGTGTGCAGGATTATACGGCATGTGGGGAAATGTAGATACAAAGAGGTTTCTCTCTCTTTCTCTCTCCCTCTTGAAATCCTGGGACATGAGGTCATCATTGGAGAGTTCAGAACAGACCAAAAAAAGTACTTTTTCATACGGTGTGTGGTTAAAACTATGGACTTTGCTACCGCAAGGTGCTACGACACCTTGGTTTTTTGAAAGAGGATTTGATAAGGCCATCAAAAACTCCTGGTCATGGTGGCTATGTGGCGACATCTCTAGGCACCTGAACATCAGTCGCTGGGGGTCGCAAGCAGGAGAGGTCTACTGTGCTCCTGATCTCATTGGAAGCCCCTCACGGAAAACCCCACAAAAACCCACTCTTTACCGCTAAATCGGAGCAAACAGCAGTCCATGGGAAACCCAAACTGCTGTTTGTTCTGATTCAGCATTGAAGAGTGGGTTTTTGTGGGGAAAGCGCCAGGGCAATAAAGAAAAGCACTCAGAATCACCACTTTAAAACACGGACAAAAGGTAAGTGTGAGTGAGCCTTTAAATGAAATGTGCGCTTTTTGTACACTTGCGTGGGACTGTCACAGAGTTGAAAGGCACCCTGAGGCAGTGACGTAGCAAGGTGAGGTGGTACCCGGCGCGGAATTTTTTTTGTCATCCCCCCACTTTGAAATCTAGTTAGACTCCCAAAAGACTGTGATCTGCTCACAAGTATAAAAAGACTGCCTGTGATCTACCCATTGCCAGGAGTTCTTGAGCTTTTCTTAGGGAAGGGTTGACCAAAATTGTTGCGCTTTATCGGGGGGAGGGCTGGCCAAAGTTGTTGAGCTCTCTACAGCAGCACGGGAGTGTGGGGCTGTCAAAACAAAGGGCAAAGGGGGGAGCACCACAGCTCCCCCCCTTCCACCAATGGCTCAGGGTAGGCAGGAGTCGTGACCGGGTGGTGAGCCAAATGACACCCCCCTCAGTGATGACACCCGGGGCAGTCTGCCCCACCTTGCTCCACCCCTGCCCTGAGGATCATCTAGTCCAGCCTTTCTCAACCTGTGGGTCCCCAGTTGTTGTTGAACTACAACTCCCATCAGCCCTAGCTAACAAGGCCAGAGCTCAGGGATGATGGGAGCTGTAGTCCAACAACATCTGGGGACCCACAGGCTGAGAATCGCTGATTTAGTCCAACCCCCTGCAATGTACGACTGTGCAGCTGTCCTATACAGTGGTACCTCGGGTTACAGACGCTTCAAGTTACAGACTCCGCTAACCCAGAAATAGTACCTCGGGTTTAAGAAGTTTACCTCAGAATGAAAAAAGAAATTGTGCGGCGGCAGCAGGAGGCCCCATTAGCTAAAGTGGTACCTCAGGTTAAGAACAGTTTCAGGTTAAGAACAGACCTCCAGAACAAATTAAGTTCTTAACCCAAGGTATCACTGTACAGGGATTGAACTTGCAACCTTGGCATTCTCAGAACCACATTCTAACCAACTGAGCTATCCAGTCTGACATTAGAAAAGATGGAGAAACTGAGATTGGCAGAGCCACCCATCCCTGTGTCAATTTCCACAGCGGGGCTGCTCTTGGCAAATTTTGTGGGTCTTGAGGGAAGAGGAGACAGGGTGGTAGAGTGTCACACTGAACAGAGCCATTGGTCGGCCTGACCTACTACTAAGGGACCAAGAAAGGGTGTAGCAAGTAGTTTGTCAGTGATTGGTTCGTGTGCTGACCCCGGGGGTAACCTGAGAAACACGGCCCAGGTCTGGTCCAGAATACAAACGTTCTGCTAAGAGTCAGTCCGACAGGGCCAAGGCAGGACACAAGGCAGGAAACCGGGCAGGGTCAGGCACAGGGTCTCAGGCAGGTTCTAGCATACAGCAATGTTGCTCCCGCAACCTGGGGCGGGGTCCGACAGCCTTTTATCTTTGTCGGGGTAACGGCCGGTCCTGATCTCCCAGCGACTCACCTCCCTGTCTCGCCCGAAGGCGAGCACTCCTCCTGCAAGTACTCAGGTCCTTCCTTCTCTCAAACCTTAGTCTCTGCAGCTTGGGAGACATTGGTGGGTTACTAGACCCAGGGGCCGCCTCAGCCTGCCCTGACCCAACTGGTAGTGGAGCAGCTGTAAGTGATGGCCCAGCTGAAGGCAATGAGGTCATCCCCGCATCTGGAGCCAGGGCAGGCTCAGGCCCCTGACTCGGCTCAGCTGGTGTTTGCTGCAGGGGAACCTGTGCAGACTGGGACTCTTCAGAATCAGGCCCCAGATGATGCCTGAGGCAAAGGATCCGGTGCGGACTGAGACCCCTCTGGTTCCGAGTCCGAGCCCGAGTCCCAGGCCATCACAGTTCGGTTCCACCCCACGTGCTGCTTTCAGAGGAAACCTGGAAATCAAGATGCTGTACCTTTGAGTATTCTCAACACGTCAAGTCGTATTGAATGCAAAACACAGTTTGAAACCTGTATTAAATGTTTCTCTTCCACTCTGCACAGCATTAAATGGTCGCCCACAAAGAAAGAAGCCAACTAAGTCACCGGCCATTATTTTAAGCGCTTGCTTCCCCCTGCAAATGCAATCCAGAGCAACTGAAAAACCGCAAGCTGCTCTTTGTTTCTGGAGCATGCAGGTGTGTGATTTGTGAGAGTTAAAAATGTAGCGGCAGCTAATAGCGTCCGTGTGCAACTCGGCGTGTGTGCTGGAGCGTGTGGCAGAGTTTTTCTGCAGAGTGATGGGTTGCAATAATCCAGCCAAGACATTATAAACACTCACACACCATAGACTACTAATTCTGCCTTAGGCTGCCTGCAGTGTTTCTGGGTTATTGTCCTAGAAAGCCAACAGTCCAGACATTTCTTGTTGCCGCGACTGACTCATGTGAACTGGAAACGACATGAAACGCTCCCCAAGCACCTTTGTGAGCAAAATCTTCCCTCTCTGAGACCCACATTGGCTCTGAGCTGTGCAAGATTCCAGGGGTCCCAGAATCTTACCCGAGGCTCAGGTTTCCCTTTGGGTTCAAACACAAATCAAACATGGCTTTCAAACATTTGCTTTCCCTCTCTCTCCCCAGCTTGCTGTTTTACTTCTAGGTCACATCACTGTAAACCGCCCCCCCCCAAAAAAACCACCTCTACTCTAAACCCTACTCCAAACAGATCACCTTAATTTCCCTTTATTTAGTTATTCATTTAGGGACGCGGGTGGCGCTGTGGGATAAACCACAGAGCCTAGGACTTGCCGATCAGAAGGTCAGCAGTTCAAATCCCCGCAACGGGGTGAGCTCCCGTTGTTCGGTCCCAGCTCCTGCCAACCTAGCAGTTTGAAAGCACGTCAAAGTGCAAGTAGATAAATAGATACCGCTCTGGTGGGAAGGTAAACGGCCTTTTCGTGCGCTGCTCTGGTTCACCAGAAGCGGCTTAGTCATGCTGGCCACATGACCCGGAAGCTGTATGCCGGCTCCCTCGGCCAATAAAGTGAGATGAGCGCCGCAACCCCAGAGTCGGCCATGACTGGACCTAATGGTCAGGGGTACCTTTACCTTTACCTAGTTATTCATTTATCTACATTGGCTCCCAGTACGTTTCCAAGCACAATTCAAAGTATTGGTGCTAACCTTTAAAGCCCTAAACAGCCTCGGCCCTGTATACCTGAAGGATCGTCTCTACCCTATCATTCAGATGTCAAGGAAATAAACAACTCGGTTTTCGAACACAATCCGTTCCAGAAGTCCGTTCAAGTTCCGAAACATTCGAAAACCAAAAACTGAAAGCAGAAGCCTCAAAACGGAAGCCTCAATACAGAAAACTCAAAACGGAAGCCATGTTTCCTATTCGACTTCTGAGGCGTGTTTGAAAACCAGGGCATTTACTTCCGGGTTTTCGATGTTTGAGTTCCAAAACGTTCGACTACAGAGGCGTTCGAAAACCGAGGTACCATTGTATCTGACTTTTAGAAGACACCTGAAGGCAGCCCCTTCGTAGGGAAGTTTTCAATATCGGGTGTTCTACTGTGTTTGATGTTTTAATTTGCTAGAAGCCACCCAGAGTGGCTGGGGCAACTCAGTCAGATGAGCGGCATATAAATATTATTCATTCATTTATTTAATTGATTGATTTATTTGCAGCATTTGTACCCCACTCTTCAGCCAAGCGGCTCCCCATCAAAACAAGCCTACCCGGAGGCTTACAACCTAAAAGAAAAAATCACAACACTCAAGGAAAAAGGGACAGGGAGGAAAGAGAAAAATCAAAACCATAGCTGTCAACTTACAGATTTGAAAATAAGGGACCAGCAGCCTTGAAAATAAGGTACCAGCAGCTAAAATAAGGGACCTGCAGCCTCACCTGTTCCAGGCACTCCAGTCTTCCTGTCCTCCTGCAGTCTGGTCAAACTCATGCTGGTAGCTTCGAGAACACTGTCCAACCAACTTTGTAACCAGAGGTTCAACTGAATAGAATCTGAATCACATGCACCACAAGGCCTATGCAGCCTCAACTTAAGATGGCTCCCCGGCCTGACTTTGCACTGCAAAGTTTGCAGCAGCACGTGCAACAAAATGGCGTCCAGCATTCAACACCTCCTCAGCTTGCATTAACTAGCCACACACAAGGCATGCAAGCTCCACCCCCTAGTCGTTCTTAGACTTCTTATTGGGTGAGCAACACAACCAAGCAACACAGTTGGAGCCTCCCTCCTCCCTGGCCGGCAGGGAGGGAGGGAGAGGAGCTGCTTTCTTTGAAATTTAAGGGACATTTAAGGGACATCTATCAATAAGGGACAGCAGCAGGACATGGCGCTGGAATAAGGGACTGTCCCTTCAAATAAGGGACACTTGACAGCTATGCAAAACTCGGGCACCAGTTATTAAACAGTTGCTCCTATAATGAACTGCCTGATGCAGCTGGCCTGTCACAGCGGAGCTGATGTAGTGATCTCTTGTTCCCAGCTTTCCCACTGCTGGAATGGCTGACCCCAATGATAGTTGAGGGGAAAGGAGACCTGATGAAGACGGCCTATGTCATATGATGCAGGGGCTGATGGGAGATTCAGTCTAAAACATTTTGGAGGGTACCTGGTTGGCAAAGACTTCTATATGCAATGCCCCAGCTGTGCTTCCCATTCCATCAACTGGGAAACCCACAATGATTAAGCTGGCACCCACATTTTTACCTGTGAGGGGGTGCAGCAAAATATTCTTTAACTGTCAGGTTACAAATTTGGGGGGGTTAATGGCGCGCCACCAAGGCTATCACCTCACCAGGAGGCTAACCTGGCTGTTCCAAGAATTAAAAGCCTTGATTAAATTCAAACACTTTCTGGATCCAGGGATTAGAGGGGTCTGGAACACAGCTTAACACCCCAAACTCATAACAATATCATTTCCTGCATGTCCCAGTACATTTCCGAGCACAATTCAAAGTGTTGGTGCTGACCTTTAAAGCTCTAAACGGTCTTGGCCCAGTATACCTGAAGGAGCGTCTCCACACCCATCATTCAGCCCAGACACTGAGGTCCAGCGCCGAGGGCCTTCTGGCGGTTCCCTCACTGCAAGAAGATCTCTGTGAGTAGATCGCAGTCTCTTGGGAGTTGGCCACCCCTGGATTAGATCTTTGATCTTCGGCTTGATCCAGCAAGTTCTTCTTCTGCTCTTGTTACTCTGAGCTAGTGCCCTAAGATACACCCAGCTCTCTCCCCCTCCGGTGGCTACAAGATTACAGAAGAACAAATTGCCGATCTATTACAAGGGAGGCAACCCTTGTTGACAGCAGGGGGGGCAGGATTTTAAAATGGGTTCTTTAAATCATTGAGAAATGAGAGTGATGCAAACCAAGTTGTGTAATTCGTGTTAGTTCCTTGAGCATGCGTGCATTGATGATCAGATTGCTTGGCAAGTATACATTAAGAGTTTACACAGTCCAACCTCTGTGGGACAAAGGGGAATTGTCAAGTCTGGCTGGGTTTAAAATCTTCCGTAGGAGCAGGCTAAGAAGTGCAAAGAGTTTCTCTTGCAAGTTCCAAAGATCTCAGAAGCCCAGTTCACAGTAACTCAAAGCAAGGCTTTTAGTGTGGCTGCTCCACTTCTATGGAATTGCATTCCTGACAAGATTTGAAAGGCTCCCACTACCTGCATTTTCAGAAACAATCGATGACGTGTTTGTTCTAACAGGCTTTCTCAGCTGGAGAAATGGGTGTCTATCCTAAGTCTACTTTATCTGGTTTTAATTTTGTTTTAAATGTATTTGCTCCTTTGAGTTTTAAACTTCAATGATATTCAGTGTGCATCGCCTTGAGACAGTTCTTTAGAAGGCAATTAATAAATTGATGATGCTGATAATAGAGATTTGGATCACTGGAAAAATCAGGATTCTGAATTGAGCAAGAAGCCTAAATGAGTAGAAAAGGCTCCTCATTGCCTCTAACATGCAAGGTTGGCGGCAGGACTGGTGACGAGGATGCAATGGAGAGGAGCTAAAGTCTCCTTCCTAAGTAGGGATGGTTGAGATATTTGATCCAGT